ATCCCAGGACCCTGGGATCATGACTTGAGCTCAAAGCAGATGCTTAACCAACTGAGCCACTCAGGGGCCCCTAGGAACTGCTTTTCAAATGAGCTTGCTTTGGGTTCACACTGTGATTCTCCCATTAGCCCTTGTCAGAGGCTCCACACAATATTTCCATGTCACAGGCATAGGATTCTATTGGAATCTCTGCCCCTTTGGGCTCCACTCAACTTGGCATTTGCTTACCAAGTATCAGAAGCTGTGCTAATTTCTTTTACTACAGAGTAAAGATATATATCTGGAAAAGCAGCTGAAGTTAACACCAATACCTGATTAAGTTCATGACAACTCATAGTCATTCTCTAAGATCCATCCTGCTTTTTCAAGGATGAACCATCAGTTGAATTAAATGGGATGTAATGGGAATCACCTTCCATGCATCTTTCAGTAATAGAGACTTTCACCCTACCTTTCCTACACAATGGCTCTTACTCCATTAGGAAACCAATTATTTCTGTTAGTTGCTAAACATGTCTGTGGGGAAATAATTACAGGATCATTTCCTGTGAGATTTGTTGGACATGCTGTGAGATAGCCTTGGACAAAGACACCAGTTATGACCTGACTGGTAGGCTGGTGTGGTGCTGTGGGCCTTCAGCAGTTAATGTTATTCAGGGTTAATGAACTAACTCAGAATTAATTAATTCAAATTAATTCATTATCTAATAACCCTGACGAACCCAGGTTTTCTCTTCCCCAGTGCCCATCACCCTGATAAATGGCTGTACATCCTCTGTGGAAGGCTTTAAGGAATTTAATCAATTTATGAAATTGTGGCTAAGTTGCAAAGTCCTTTTACTGTGTTCTTCTCTCGGAGAAGAAGCTGAATCTAGAATTCTTGATAAGTGCCTCATATTGACAAATTTGGCCCTCCCTAATTTCACAATTTGTCCTTTCTGGTCAATGCCTTGATTTTCCATTCCAAGTGTCTTGTGGATGTGAATTGGTAGGATCTTATGATTCCTTTGGGATATATTCCTTTGTCTATTCCTGGAATAGGTTTTTTAATTCACTCTGGGTCATACAGGAATTTTTCCTTAAAAAAAAAAGATTTTATTTATTTATGAGAGAGAGAGAGAGCATGAGTGGGGGAGAGACAGAGGGAGAGGGAGAAACAGACTTGAGCAGGGACCCTGACACGGGGCTGGATCCCAGAACTCCAAGAAGGCAGCTGCTTAACTGACTCAGCCACCCAGGCACCCCGAGAATTTCTTTCCCTTTTAAAAACATGTTTTACTTGGAAATAATTTCAAACTTACAGAAAAGTTACAAGAATAAAAATACTATAAAAGTTATTTGTATATCTGTTATAAGTTGACTTGTGCCTCCCAAAATGGGTATGTGGAAGTCGTAACCCCTAGTACTGTAGAAGGTAAACAAGGTCTTTATGGAGGTAATCAAGCTTTAAACTTGAGGTCATTGCATGAGCTTAGGCCCTAATCCAATATGACTGGTGTCCTTAAACAAAAGGGGAAATATGGACACAGAGACATATGTGCACATGGGAAGAACCCCAGGTGACCATGAAGGCAGAGATCAGGGTGCTGTAACTACAAGCCAAGGAATGCCAAAGACTGTGAGCAAACCTCCAGAAGCCAGGAGATAGGCCTGGAGCAGATTCTCCCTCACGCCCTTAGAAGGAACCAAACCCTGCTGATACCTCGGACTTCTAGCCTACAGAAGTGTGAGACAATATATTCTGTCGTTTAAGTCAACAAGAGTACTGCTACCTAGTGTAGTACTTGGTTTATGGCAGCTCTAGCAAACTAATATGTACCCTTTACCCAGTTTCACTTACTGTTAATATTT